GTCCATTAATGAATATTAGATGGATAAACAAGTAATAGCAAAAAAGAAAGCACTTTAACATTCACATTATGAAGAGATATAGTTACTACATTAGAGGAAAATATTCTTTCCTCTGTCTCCCTCTGAGAAGTGAGGAGTTGGCCATCTTCTATAGTAGGACAATAGTGAGGCGTCAGATTGTAGAGAGCTATTTTTGGCAGCTCTTTCTTAGGAGAATCACACCAGCTGAACCTGTCCACAGGAATCCTTGCAGTTCCAGAACAGCTCTGGAAACCCAGTAGTTTTCCAGCACTTCCTGTTCTGTTAAAGGAAAAGTACTTGGTTTATCTCGGTTATCTTCAGCAGGGTACATTGGTCCTTACTCTCTGACTCATAAAGGGATAGAGTCACAAAAAGGAACTGGGTTTAGAAAAGTGAGCTGGTTTTCCTAAGCCTAACATTGGTTAATAAAAGAGTTGATGAAATTGAAAATAGAATCACTCTCCCCCTCCCTCTCTTTTTCTCTCTCTTTCTGGCCCTCATTTCTTTCCCTCTCTTGTTCTTCTTCCAGTTTTCACTATCAAATTATATTTGGGGGCAAGATTCAGTGGCAGAGCTTGTGTTTTTCATGCTCAGAGCACTGAGTTCAATCTCTAGCCCTGGAGAGAAGGGGGAGGGAGAAGGGAGAGAGAGAGAAATAGAACTTTGCCTACCACATTAGGGGAAAAGTTCTTGACATGTTCCAGAATCAACTAGCATTATATAAATGTGTGTGTGTATGTAGTTATGTTCTATTTTAAATATATAAATATGTGGAGAACATGTGTATGTATTTATTTTTTTCTATGTAAAACAATTGAAAGGAAAGGCAGGTACTATTGGCTCATGTTTGTAATCTAGCTACTCAGGAGCTGAGACCTGAGGATTCTTGTTGGAAGCCAGCTCAGGTAGAAAAGTCCATGAGACTCTTATCTTCAATTAACAACCTAAAAATGGAACTGTGGTTCAAAGTGGTAGAGTGCTAGCCTTGAGCACAAAAATTCAGCCCTGAATTGAAGCCCCGTGACCAACAATAAATAAACAAATAAATAAATGTGCCAAAATGTGCATTTATCTCTGGTTAGTAGTGTCATAGTTTATTTATGCTTCTATTAAAAACTTATTTTTATTAATGAGCATGTAATGCTTTATAATCAGAAATTTAAGCTTAGACTGGATGGATAACTCAAGTGGTAGGGTCAGCCTTGAGCAAAAAAAAAAAAAAAGGCCAAGCAAAAGCACCAGGCTCTGAGTTCAAGCCCTAGTAATAAATAAATAAATAAATAAATAAATAAGAGAAAATAAATTTAGGCTTCTAAATTCCTGACCTACTGTTTTTGAAAGGATTTATTTTGGTACTGCTCAGCTCTGTGGGATGGAAGAAGGAGATGAAAAATTGTATATATTACTTCTAAAACTATGATAATGCATGAATACCATCCCTAGTATAACATGTTAACAAGTATTACATTATCACCTGTAATGGTCACAATAGCTGAAAACCTTGAGGTTCTGATTGGGTGACTGTAAGAGTCACCTGATTAATGGGTAATGGAGGCCAATTAGAAGGGAGAATACTTAATCACGTGCTTGATCCTGCTGCTCTTTTCCTTTTCCTTCCCATAAATGCATCTACATCCTTTCTTCAAGTTAAACCTTCCTCTGCTGTAAACTGCTCAGGCAAGAGTCAGTTGGTGGTGAACAGAACCCTCTTTATTTTGAGGCCCTGGCAGCCTTGTTTCACATTACCTGCAGAACATGAAGGACAACCTACATAGGAATGTCACCAATAACTTGTTAAAGCCCATGTCATCCCAAACCAGAAAGAAGTTGCTTCCACTCTGTTACAAGAGATAATGGAAAAAGCTCACTTGCAGCTGGGATCAGAGATAGTGACTTTATTATTGCTAGACCTTTTGGGCCAAAATCTTTGAGGTCTGACAAATGCCACAGAAAGGAATCTCGTGGTTTGGTTTGGTTTGGTTTTTTACATTACTCTGAGATGCCAAAGGTACTAGATGAAATTTAGTGATATATTAGGATTTTTTTTAAGCAACACGTTAAAAAAAAACAAAACAGCCATTTTGACAAAAAAAAAAAAAAATAGTATGGAGATTCCTTGAAGAACTAAGCATAGATTCACCATTGGATCCATCAATCTTCACCCCAGGGGAAATTCCCAGAGGAATTGAAACCAGAATTCCGAAGAGATGTCTGCACACCCATGTTTGCTGCAGCTCACCATGATCAAGACAGGGAAACAACCAACGTCCATCAACAGACAAGGGGTTTCTTAAATGTGGTATATATACACAATAGAATACTATTCAGCCTTAAAACAACAGGAAATTCTGTCATCTGTGATAATGGTGATAAATGTAGAAGGCATTGTGTGGAATCTAAGAAAGCTGAACTCATGGAAGTTGAGTGTAGAATGTTGTTTATCAGAGTCTGGGACCAGGACAGATGGGGAAAGGTGAGAGGGTGGTCAGTGGCTACGAAGTTACAGCTGGATAAGAGGAATTGCTGCCCATGTCCCAATGTCCCAAATTCATCACAGCCAATAATAATGTGTATTTCAAAGTATCTAAAACCGAGGATTTTAAATGTTTACCACCACAAAGGTATTTGGAGATATATGTTAATTACACTGATCTGATCATTCCATAATGTAGTATACAGCTATGAAAACATCATATTGTATCCTATATACAATTGTTAATGTGTAAATTATGGGGTGTACCTCAATGGTCATGTGTGTGCTTACTATGTGAGAACCAGTTTGATCCCAAGCACCATTTTTTTAAATTAAAACTTAAAAAAAAAATCTGTGACTTCAGTCTATACAAGTAATAAATTATTATACAGACCTGGGTAAAGTCACTCAAGGGAAATAAATCATGTTCGCAGAAAAACCTACACCCAGTTGTATATAGCTCTTTATTTATAATTGTAAAAAAGCAGAAAATAACTTAACCTCCTTTAACTACATAAATTGTGGCATATTCACACAATAATGGAATACTAGTGAGCCATACAACGGAATGAACTACTAAAGATGACAAAATGGGAAAATCCTAAATGTGTTTTGCTAGTTTAGTAAGGGACTGCCAGATCCAAAAACATGACACAGCTGTCACACTATTTATATAGCATTCTGTGAAGTGATGCAAGAGAGATGGAAAGTGGAGCTTCTTTTTTCCTTTTGGTGCTAGAGACTGACCCATGAGCCCCTCTGTATGCTCAAAAGCTACACCCCAGGGATCCCTGGTGGAACTTTTTGTATTTTTTTTTTGTTAGTGGTGGGGCTTGAACTCTGGGCCTGGGCACAGTCCCTGAGCTCTTCAGCTCAAGGTGAGCGCTCTACCACTTGAGCCACAGAACCACTTCCAGTTTTCTGGTGGTTAATTGGAGATAAAGAGTCTCACGGACATTCAGGCCCGGGCTGGCTTTGAACCTCGATCCTCAGATCTCAGCCTCCTGAGTAGCTAGGATTACAGGTGTGAGCCCCCAGCACCTGCTGAAACTGTTTGTTTTTTTATAGTTACACAATTACATATCCACCAAAACTCATAGACCAATGTAACCAAAAAGTGAATCTTATTAGATAAAACTTTATTTTTTTCTTCCTTCCCCCCTCCCTCGATAAAAATTTTAAATAAATGCATAAAATAATCAAGTAATCCTAACCCATGGTGAGAACAAACAATGAAACAAGAAATTCAGTTAAAAAGTCTCTCCGATCTTGGCTAGCTGAGGGAGCAATGGATCAAAACTGCCATCCTAGGGATGTGGAGGCAGAGATGTGAGTATGAGCCTGCTGAGGTAGAAAAGCTCATCAGATCCCATCTCAAAGGCTGAGCAGGGTTACTGTGCTGTTATCCCAGCTAGAGGGCAGCCTAGGCATAAAGCAAGACCTTACCTCGAAAATAACTAATGCAACAAGGGGCTGGAAGTGTGGACCCAGCAGTAGGTAAAGGACCTGAGTTCAATCCCCAGTACTGGAAAAAAAAAAAAAAAACTCTCCCAGATCTTTGTGATAATAGACTTGTATTTTTATTGTGGTGAGGTTACAAGTGATGAAATGATATAGAACTATACCAATATCAGTCTCCAGCTTTGATACTGTACTATACTTAAGCTGTAACCAGAACGAGTAGAGGCAGAAAGATCTCTGTGCATTGTTTCTGCAGCTTCCTCCTTATCCATAGTTTTGAATGGCTCTCTCCACCATATTTCCAGTATCTCACCTGCCTCCCTAGAAGTACACACTGCTACGTTTCTTGCATATATGTGCACGTGCCCGTGATCAGTTTATTCATAAATGCTTCTAAATGATAACGTTGTTCTGCACCTTGTTATTTTTCAACTGTTACTTGAGAGACCTGTCCATTTCACAAACACAGGACACCGATCTCCTTTTTTTTTTCCTGCTGCATAGTATTCTATTGCATAATGATACCATAATTTGCTTCAAATTACTTACGGACATTTGGATCTCCACCACGAACTGAACTTCAGAATTTTTGGACTTTTTTTCTTTTAAAAAAATGCAAAGTCAGTAGGATTTGAGACCAAACGCTAATTTCCAGAGATTCAAGACTAAGCTCTAGAATATCTTTTAACTAGATGGGAGAATGCGAAGGCCGGAGGCAAAAGAGACGCTGGGAAATTTCCTGAGCCAATGGGGGACGGCGGGGGTTTCCGTGCTGGAATCGGAGGCCCCTGCGCAAAGCTCAGCGTCCCCCAGGCTGCAGCTCCCATCCACTGAAGTGTGTCCAGGCGAGTGCGCGGCCGCTCCCGGCGCCCCGCAGGGTCCCCCCTCTCCCAGGCGGGATCTGAACCCCCCACGCGCGCAGGGGGGGAGGGGGCACGCGTGGTGACCTGCCTGGGGCCGGATCCCGAGCTGCGGCTCCTCCTCCTCCTCCCTCCGGCTCTCGCTCGGCTTCTGCAGTATCACGTGCAGCCGCGCCGGGTGCAGGATGGCGGCAGCGGCGGCGGCGGCGGCGGCGGCCGCGGTGGGCGTCAGGCCCCGCGCTTCCTGCAGCCGGGGCGCGGTGCTCCTGCTCTTCTTCTCTCTGTCTCCTCGGCCCCCGGCCGCCGCCGCTTGGCTGTTGGGTCTGCGGCCTGAAGACACGGCGGGAGGCCGCGTGTCCCTGGAGGGGGGCACCCTGCGCGCGGCCGAAGGCACCAGCTTCCTCCTGCGCGTCTATTTCCAGCCGGGCCCCGGCGCGTCCGCCGCGCCCGCGCCCACCGTGGCCCCGGCGGAGAACAGCACGGGCGACTGGGCCCCCCGGCTCGTGTTCATCGAGGAACCCCCCGGAGGGAGCGGCGGGACGCCCAGCGCGCTCCCCACGCGCTCCCCGGGCCCGCAGCGCTGCCGCGAGCAGAGCGACTGGGCGTCCGACGTGGAGGTCCTGGGGCCCCTGCGTCCCGGGGGCGTGGCGGGCTCGGCCCTGGTCCAGGTGCGGGTGCGAGAGCTGCGCAAGGGCGAGGCGGAGCGCGGCGGCGCGGGCCGCGGCGGGAAGCTCTTCTCGCTGTGCGCCTGGGACGGGCGCGCTTGGCACCACCACGGCGCCGCCGGCGGCTTCCTGCTGCGCGTCCGCCCGCGGCTCTCCGGCCCCGGTGGGGACCTGCTGCCGCCCGCGTGGCTGCGGGCGCTCGGAGCGCTCCTGCTGCTGGCCCTGTCCGCCCTGTTCAGCGGCCTGCGCCTGAGCCTGCTCTCGCTGGACCCGGTGGAGTTACGGGTGCTGCGGAACAGTGGCTCGGCCGCCGAGCAGGAGCAGGCGCGCCGCGTGCAGGCCGTGCGCGGCAGGGGGACCCATCTGCTCTGCACTCTGCTCCTGGGCCAAGCCGGAGCCAACGCGGTCCTGGCCGGCTGGCTCTACGCCTCGCTGCCGCCGGGCGTTGGGGACACCGGGGAAGACGACGGCGATGCCGGGGTTCACTTCCCGTGGCTGCCCGCGCTCGTGTGCACCGGCGCCGTGTTCCTGGGAGCCGAGATCTGTCCTTACTCGGTGTGTTCCCGCCACGGGCTGGCCATAGCCTCGCACAGCGTGTGCCTGACCCGGCTGCTGATGGCGGCCGCCTTCCCCGTGTGCTACCCGCTGGGCCGCTTGCTGGACTGGGCGCTGCGCCAGGAGATCAGCACCTTCTACACGCGGGAGAAACTGCTGGAGACGCTGCGGGCCGCGGACCCTTACAGCGACCTGGTAAAGGAGGAACTCAACATCATCCAGGGCGCCCTGGAGCTGCGCACCAAGGTGGTGGAGGAGGTGCTGACCCCGCTGGGAGACTGCTTCATGCTGCGCTCCGACGCCGTGCTGGACTTCGCCACCGTCTCCGAGATCCTGCGCAGCGGCTACACGCGCATCCCCGTGTACGAGGGCGACCAGAGGCACAACATCGTGGACATTCTGTTTGTCAAAGACTTGGCCTTCGTGGACCCCGATGACTGCACTCCGCTTCTCACCGTCACCCGCTTCTACAACCGGCCTTTGCACTGCGTCTTCAATGATACACGGCTGGACACGGTGCTGGAGGAGTTTAAAAAGGGTGCGTAGTGGTCTTGGGCCTTCCTTTCTCCCCCCCCCCCCCTCCCCGCTTCCTTCCCCCCATGTCCCTCACAATTCCTACCCCTTTCAGACGTTTTGCGCTTTCTTGGTGGTGGTATGAGGTTTCAGATGCACGGAGCCATGTCTCCGATCTAGGCTTGCCCCTCTCCCCCCACCCCCGCCTAAAAAAGCTAGAGGAAAGTCCTATCTGTTGGTTCCCAATGTTTCTCTCACTTCTTACATCTGGCTGAGCCCCAAGCTTCTTCCACTAACAAGATGCACCATGCTCTCTTAATTTCCCTCTCACCAGTAACTTTCTGGGGCCTACCAAGTGCCAGGTATTGTGTAGACAGGGCTAGAGTTAGCCCTGAAAGGTCACTGTTCTAGCTCCCAAGCATTTCACACATTACAGGCCACTTCTGCCTACAGCTTCCCACAACAACCAGTTTTTGCTTGAAACTCCTCCCAGTCCTGGAAGCTCACCATCTCCAGAGTGAACTAACACTGTTGCTGGACAGATCCCACTGCTGACAAGCTCTTCCTTACCCAGACAGAATGATAGCTTCAGAGGCTCTCATTTCTGCAACTTGAGTCAGGGAGAATAAACCTCAGACTTATTGGACATTCTTCCCTAGGCTTAACTTTCATAGACAACAACAACAAAATACCCGTGTTGAAGGATTAAAAATTGGGTGAAGGCAGTGGAGTTCTTGTACTTCCTGGAACTCTGGCCCCATGAATTAGTGTATATGTGGAACTGAAGAACTATTTCTGCAGAGCAGAGACCCTTGAAAGCTTGGATATCCAGAACAAGTGGAGTTTCCTTCTGTGAAGTTACCATGCCCTATCCAACCTCAACCTTGATTTCATATCAGGCTATATGACATGGTGACTTTATGACTGGGGTTTGTCTTTGGAAACTGCCTTCTGTGGCTGAGTACAAACACACTCAAGAAAAATCAGCTTGAGTCAGCCTTCTTGGCCTTAAGTTTGACTCTTCCTTTAATTCACCAGGTCTGGCTCAGAACAGTAGCTGGTTGTTTTTGAAAATCATACTTACTTCTAAGCGCCACCATTGAGAGCATTCAAAAGACAGTCCCTGAAAGCAACTCCAGACATAGTTTGAGTACAGAAATGTGGTTAGAGTGTAGAACTTTCCAGAATGGCTATTTTGAAGGAAGCACCCCTCTATACATATGAGTTGACATATTTATGGTGGAGAAAAAAATCCAGTCCTTGGACTTTAGAATCAGGCTTTAAATGTGATTCTGTGGTACAGAACTATTAGTTGACTGTATCTTTTATACAGTTTTTGCTAAAAACTCAATTTTACTGCCTTATCAGCATAGATACTCTTTAGGATATGAAATACAGAGAGAAATATAATATGTGTGTTGTGTGTGTGTGTGTGTGTGTGTGTGTGTGTGTGTGTGTGTGTGTGTGTGTGTGTGTGTGTGTGTGTGTGTGTGTGTTGGCTTTGGGGATTGAACTCAGGGCCTTGGAACTGTCCTAAGCATTTTTGCTTAAAACTAGCACTCTACCACTTGAACCACAGCACCACTAGGGGCTTTTTTGGTGGTTAATTGGAGATAGGAGTGTTACAGACCTACCAACTTGTGCAGCTTTTGAACCATGATCCTCAGATCTCAGCCTCTTGAGTAGCTAAGATAACAGGATTTTCCACTTGAAGCAATATTTCAAAGACTTCTTTTCTTTTTTTTATTTTTTTTTTTTGGTCGGTCATGAGGCTTGAACTCTGGGCTGGGCACTGTCCGTCAGCTCTTCAGCTCAAGGCTAGCTTTCTACCACTTGAGCTACAGCACCACTTCCGGTTTTCTGGTGGTTTATTGGAGATAGGAGTCTCACGGTCTCTCCTGTCCAGGCTGGCTTTGAACCTCAATCCTCAGATCTCAGCCTCCTGAGTAGCTAAGATTACAGGCGTGAGCCACCAGCACCCGGCATTCAAAGACTTCTTATTTATCAAAGCATAGCTCAGAAAGGGAAAAAAAGTTTGAAAATTACCTTGTTTCAGATTCAGGGAGAGAAAAGCCTTAGAAATTGTGTTGCTATTAGGAGAAGGGGAGAGAAATGTTAATATGGCAGCTCTTTTAACCCGATCTGGGGCTCTGCCTTTCCCTCTTCTGAATCCTTGCATTACTAATTCCCATTGCTCTCAGGGGTTCATCCATGTAGCTTGGCTTGTAGACAGGCACATTCTTACCATGGCTTGCCATGGTTTTTTCCTGTGCACTGCATCTTTATTGTCTTTAGGGGTCCAAACTTCCTCTTCTTACTAGGACACTAGTCAGATCGAAATAGGGACGAATCTAAAGGCCTAGTTTTAACGTATTCATCTCTCACCTGTGATAGTTAACATAGAGAGTTGTTAAAAAAGTATCTTATTGTCATATGTGGTCAGAATACATTTTAGTGAAACACCTGTGAACACGTTCACTTAGTATTTATGAGCATCTCTATGGTTTTAGGCAACATGGAGACAGGACCGTCTTCAGGAAGTTAACTATTCCAGGTAGGATAGAGGTATATAAGAGTAGTCTTTAGAAGCAGGAATTAATGCTGGGCAGCTTGTACAGTGCCCTGCACTTTTGTTCCACAAAAGTGATGTTGGTCTGCAGTGAGTCCCTGTGCAGAATTTCTAAGTCTGGTCTGAAACAAGCTTGTTTGAATTCTTTCCATAGTCTGTCATTAGGTAGATCACTAAAGGGAAGTAGGCCCATCCTGTGGACTCCAAGCCAAGGAAGGAATTTCCACAGCCACTCATGGACCCCACTTCCTCCAACTGTGCTCCATGAACCAGAAGCACAAGTCTTACCTGAGAGCTTGCTGCAGATGCAGTTTCCTGTCCCACCCTAAATCCACTGAACAAAAACCTTTCTGTCTGGTGGGATTTTGCCTCATTTTGTTTTTGAGACTATGTCCCATGTTGTAGTCCATGCTGGCCTGGACTACAATCTTCCTGCCTCAGCCTCTAAGGTAGTGGGATTTATAATCACTCACCACTTTGCTGATGGAAATTTGCATTTCAACAAGCCTTTATTAACAGAACTTTGGAAATCTACCTGGGATAGAAAGTAAGGAAGAGGCCTGGGAATGTGCCTTGGTAGAGTGCTAACCTAGCATGCATAAAGCCCTGGGTTCAATTCCTTAGTACCACATACGCAGAAAAAGCTGGAAGTGGTGCTGTGGCTCAAGTGGTAAAGTGCTATCTTTGAGCAAAAGAATCTCAGGGACAGTGCCTAGGCCCTGAGTTCAAGCCCCAGGACTGGCAAGAAAAAAAAGAAAAGAAGGAAGAATTAATAAGGAAGTTATATCAGACTCCAAAGCCATATGATACAGTGGTTAGTTTCTACAAATTTATGTTTCTGTAACTCTTGAAAAATAAAGCAATCTTTATCTTTTTAAGGTAACTTTGGAAGTGAGTCTTTAATAGCTTTTCCATTATCCTCACGTCCTTACATCTCAAATAACCAAATGATTGTATTAATAAGAGCAAAAGTTACCATTAATTGAGCGACAGGCCTGCTGGCAGCACACCAAACCTTTGCATACTGAGATCCACCCTCCTGCATAGGTATTACTAGCTATTTGACAGATGAAGAAACTAAAACTCAGACCCATAACACAGCCTGCTCAACTTTCCTCAGCTAATAACTGACTCAGATATAAATGAATCCCCAAACCCTGTACACCCCTGCTACCTCATCCTGTTTCCTCCAACCTGGAATTCTTGCCACCTACAGATGTCAAGGCTGGATTTGCACCTCTAACTTGCTGCCCTTGGTCACTTCCAGTTTTTGCAGGTTACAAACATACCTATAATAATTGCAAATGTGAACATTATACTTTGCAAAATGTTTCATTTATCACTTTTTTTCTTTTGGCCTGACCCATAAAACAACTTTGCAGTTACAGGAGATGAGCTTAAGGCCCAGAAAGGTGGTTTGCCTGCCGAAGATCATCATTCACACAGATGATCTGGGTTCAAATCCAGTTCACAGGACTCCAGAGCTCTTTATCTACAAGGGATTTTTGTATTGATGTATGTTGATTGTATGTAGTAAGGGATCTCATTATAACAGACTTTGATCGTATTCACTCCTCAGTTTCATGTTTCCATTTCCCTTCTACCTCCCTAGCAGACCCCCTGGATTTTCATAACATTGTGATTTTTCTCCCCTTCTCCCTCCAACTTCCACAGCTGAGAGAAAACATGTGATTCTGTCTTCAGGGGACTGATATTTCACTTAATATGATGATCTGCAGTTCCATTCGTTTTCCAGCTCCACATGGGAATTTATCTCTATAGTCCTTATAAATGACAAGTCTTCAGGAGTGTGGAAAAGGAAATCCAGCTTTCCAGTTGGCATTCTAGCTTCACAAATGGGAGCAGTGTTCCTCCCACTGGATTTTGAGTTCCTTAATGGCAGATAATTCATCTTACTTACTTTGTATTCTCAGGGTAAAACCAGGACTGCCATAACTAGGGGATGTAATTAAAAGTAGACATTCATTGAGTAAGTGGTTTTTAACTAGTTAACTTCCACATTTCTGTTTGAATGAGGTGAACTTTAAATATAGAATAATTTTGTTTCATTGGCCAAAACAAATACCTGTCCTTTTTCCTAGGTGTCTACCACCAACCAGTGACACCAATATTCCTCATCACCCACCCTTATCCTACAATCGTTCCCTTTTAGTCTACTCAAGCTACCATAACAAAACAGAGTAGACAAAGTAGCTTCAGAACAGAAATTTATTTTCTCACAGCTCTAGATCAAGGTTTTGGCTAACACAGTTTCTAGTGCCAGTTCTCTTCCTGGCTTGCAGATTGCCGCATATTTCTCAGGCATATTCAGAGAAAGCAAGAGAGCGCAGATTTCTCCTCTTCTTAGAAGGACAACAGTCCTCTTGAATGAGGCCTGCCCTTCTTGCCTCATGGAACCCTAACTACTTCCTGAAAGGCTCCTTGGGGAAATAGAG